GCGGGCCGGCTCTCATCCCCCCTCCCTGGGGGGCCCCCCGGCATTTAGGGGGGAGGCCGGGAAAATTTAAAAATTTCCTTTTTAGGAAAATAAAACAAAATCTTTAAATTTTCAAACACTTAAGAATTCCCAAAACCCTTTGAAAGATTTTTTCCTCAAAAAAAATCTCCCCCCCCTTCCCCCCCTTTCCTTTTTTAATTTTGGGGGGGGGGTTTCCCTTCCAATTTTCCCCCAAAAAACCAAAACCCCCAAATATTTTAAAAATTTAGGAAATTTAAACCAACCCAAATTTTTAATAGTAAAAACCTTATCCTTCCAAACCCCCTTTTTTAAAAATTTTTCCCCAATTTCCCCCCATAACCAAACCTTTTGCCATTTAAATTTCCCCAAAAAACACAGAATAGGTTTCCATGCCAAACCTCTAATTTTCTTCCCCTTCCCTGTTTTGCCCCCGGAAATTTAGAAAGGCCCGTGCCCTTAAGGTTTTCCCAACTGACCAAAAACGCAAATATTCTCCACCTTCCCACCCATTACGTACGTCTACGTTTGAGTGCGAAAGTCCAGACACACGCATAATAATATGCCATCTAGCAGACGCTTCATCCAAAGCGACCTACAGTCATGCGTGCATAAATTTTTTATTATGGGTGGTCCCGGGGATCGAACCCACTACCTTGGCGTTACAAGCGCCGTGCTCTACCAGCTGAGCTACAGAGGACCACATCGTTGGATTTTATAGGTACCTCTCAAATAATCGCTTTGTGGTGTTTTTAGCCAATTCTTAATTGACACGAATCATTTTGTCAAACATTTGTTCGAACCAAAAATATTGACTGTCATCCTCCTTTTTATCCCCTGCAGTCACGATAGTTAAATATTCCTTTGTCCCCGTTAAAGCATTTTCGCGCTTAAAAAAACACACTCCCTGTCTTCAGCCCCTCCTTTTGCTTTTTTTTTCATCTAATTTTATATGCATCTGCCTACTAACTTTTTTACTTCGAGATGCCCAATAAATTCATACCTCTTCTCCCAAATGGACCCATAAAACATATTTATCCGATCCCTCCCTAACATATATCTTTCATCTCCCGTTAATTCTCGGACTTGTTTAGAAGATGTCTTTCCCATCGTGGAACAATAAGAAATCCCTCCCCCCCTTTTTGTTTTTTAAATAATTCACTCCCGAATTATTTCCGTAGGAGCCAATCTCTTAGTGCGCCTCTTGCTTTTGTAATTAACCCTTTAAAATTATTTAACCCCTAACCCAGAGTTTCTATTTAAATCTCCGGTTTCATGAAAAGAGTAAGTTACCCAATTTTCCTCACGCAACTTATTTTTTCCCCCACCCCTGAAATAATAATCACGTCTCCTGAGGGATAAAGTCTCACACACACACGACCTTATCATCTGTTAAACTTGTTTGCACAGTTCTAGCAAATGCCCAGTCGCATATAGAACTCCCGACATATCCCTCTCATACGATGATAATTATTTCCCTGTTTATACTGAACATTGCAATTCGTACAATGACAATATTAACTTAGTTTACATTTGTGATTGCAATTCACTACCATGTCATTTCGGACTAGTTTTTTTTTTTGTAATAGCTATTTACCTCTAGGATCAATTGCGGACCCTCCCTGTCGTAATAATTATTACCTTCTTTGACTTTGGTAACTAAGTTCAACTCATTTTACCAAAACCCATGAATAAAAATTACTGACCTTTTCCTCGCAGTCTGGATTAAAATGCTTTTTCAAACTTGTTAACGTCTTTATCGTTCATAAAGAGTAATCACCGGCCTGTCTTATAACCTTAACGTGGAAGGCCAGGACTATTTTTCACGGATGTGATCACCCGGCCGTGCACGGATTTCGGTGTCTCTAGAACGATAAAGATGTATTAAGCTCCGCTTCGAAGGACCAATCTGTCATGTGAATTCGACCTAAGCTTGAATCATTACCAGAGGTTGTAAAGCTCTGGTTTTAATCATCAATGATTCAAGGTCCACAATCCACAAGTAATTATCAGTAAATTTATTCATGGAGAGCTCTGCTCAAAAACACAAATATCCTGTTTTTATACTCCTTGACAAACAAAGACACTATGCTCCTCCCACCTTTCTTAAACAGTTCCCGCCTTCCCCCTTGAATGGTTAGTAACGCCCCCTCTGTTAGTGGGTTGACACTACATGATAATTCTAACATTTATACTGTGTTTGGGGTGAAATTCTTTAGTCATTATTCTTAAAATCCAAATTAATCTAACAAACAGATAGCAGGACTGTATGTCACCTGTCTAACAGATAGCAGGGCTGTATTTCACCTGTCTAACAGATAGCAGGACTGTATTTCACCTGTCTAACAGATAGCACGGCTGTATTTCACCTGTCTAACAGATAGCAGGGCTGTATTTCACCTGTCTAACAGATAGCAGGGCTGTATTTCACCTGTCTAACAGAAAGCAGGGCTGTATTTCACCTGTCTAACAGATAGCACGGCTGTATTTCACCTGTCTAACAGATAGCACGGCTGTATGTCACCTGTCTAACAGATAGCACGGCTGTATGTCACCTGTCTAACAGATAGCAAGGCTGTATGTCACCTGTCTAACAGATAGCAGGACTGTATTTCACCTGTCTAACAGATAGCACGGCTGTATTTCACCTGTCTAACAGATAGCAGGGCTGTATTTCACCTGTCTAACAGATAGCACGGCTGTATTTCACCTGTCTAACAGATAGCACGGCTGTATTTCACCTGTCTAACAGATAGCACGGCTGTATTTCACCTGTCTAACAGATAGCACGGCTGTATTTCACCTGTTTAACAGATAGCAGGGCTGTATTTCACCTGTCTAACAGATAGCAGGGCTGTATTTCACCTGTCTAACGGATAGCAGGGCTGTATTTCACCTGTCTAACGTATAGCAGGGCTGTATTTCACCTGTCTAACGGATAGCAGGGCTGTATTTCACCTGTCTAACGGATAGCAGGGCTGTATTTCACCTGTCTAACGGATAGCAGGGCTGTATTTCACCTGTCTAACGGATAGCAGGGCTGTATTTCACCTGTCTAACAGATAGCACGGCTGTGTTTCACCTGTCTAACAGATAGCAGGACTGTATTTCACCTGTCTAACAGATAGCACGGCTGTATTTCACCTGTCTAACAGATAGCAGGGCTGTATTTCACCTGTCTAACAGATAGCAGGGCTGTATTTCACCTGTCTAACAGAAAGCACGGCTGTATTTCACCTGTCTAACAGATAGCACGGCTGTATTTCACCTGTCTAACAGATAGCACGGCTTTATGTCACCTGTCTAACAGATAGCACGGCTGTATGTCACCTGTCTAACAGATAGCACGGCTGTATGTCACCTGTCTAACAGATAGCACGGCTGTATGTCACCTGTCTAACAGATAGCACGGCTGTATGTCACCTGTCTAACAGATAGCAGGGCTGTATTTCACCTGTCTAACAGATAGCAGGGCTGTATTTCACCTGTCTAACAGATAGCAGGACTGTATGTCACCTGTCTAACAGATAGCAGGGCTGTATTTCACCTGTCTAACAGATAGCAGGACTGTGTTTCACCTGTCTAACAGATAGCACGGCTGTATTTCACCTGTCTAACAGATAGCAGGGCTGTATTTCACCTGTCTAACAGATAGCAGGGCTGTATTTCACCTGTCTAACAGAAAGCACGGCTGTTTTTCACCTGTCTAACAGATAGCACGGCTGTATTTCACCTGTCTAACAGATAGCACGACTGTATGTCACCTGTCTAACAGATAGCACGGCTGTATGTCACCTGTCTAACAGATAGCACGGCTGTATGTCACCTGTCTAACAGATAGCACGGCTGTATGTCACCTGTCTAACAGATAGCACGGCTGTATGTCACCTGTCTAACAGATAGCAGGGCTGTATTTCACCTGTCTAACAGATAGCAGGGCTGTATTTCACCTGTCTAACAGATAGCAGGACTGTATGTCACCTGTCTAACAGATAGCAGGGCTGTATTTCACCTGTCTAACAGATAGCACGGCTGTATTTCACCTGTTTAACAGATAGCAGGGCTGTATTTCACCTGTCTAACAGATAGCAGGGCTGTATTTCACCTGTCTAACGGATAGCAGGGCTGTATTTCACCTGTCTAACGGATAGCAGGGCTGTATTTCACCTGTCTAACGGATAGCAGGGCTGTATTTCACCTGTCTAACGGATAGCAGGGCTGTATTTCACCTGTCTAACGGATAGCACGGCTGTATTTCACCTGTCTAACAGATAGCACGGCTGTATTTCACCTGTCTAACAGATAGCACGGCTGTATTTCACCTGTCTAACAGATAGCACGGCTGTATTTCACCTGTCTAACAGATAGCACGGCTGTATTTCACCTGTCTAACAGATAGCAGGACTGTATTTCACCTGTCTAACAGATAGCACGGCTGTATTTCACCTGTCTAACAGATAGCAGGACTGTATTTCACCTGTCTAACAGATAGCACGGCTGTATTTCACCTGTCTAACAGATAGCAGGACTGTATTTCACCTGTCTAACAGATAGCGTGGAGGGGCTGTATTTCATCTCTCCAGTCTTCTCTCTGCGTGGGTCTGGCTGATGTCTCTTATACCAACAGACTCCCTTCTTTGTGCTCTGTTTGGACCACTTAAACACTGCCTGTCTGTCTGCCTGCCTGTCTGTCTGTGAGATGTTCTGAGCAGTCTCATGTTTCTTAGCATTGAGGCAGGTTTGTGTATCTGTCACGCTATCACAACAGGAGTGTGTATCTGGGAATATGGCACTGGCAGGATCTATGTTTGGTCTTGACATTTGGTAGTTTAAGGTCTTAAAAGGGTGTGTGTGTTTGACCTGTGTGATTGCGACACATGTATGCGCCTGTGTGTGTGTGTGCTTGCGACACGTGTATCTGACGTGTGAGTGTGTGTTCCCCAGGTGTGCTGCAGGCAGGTAGATGACATGCAGGGTGAGCCATGGACCAGATCACCTTCCATTATGACACGGTGCTGTCTGACATTCACCTGTTGCTGCCCAACTCTCGCCACCTCATGGCATGCCTTAACCGCGTAGGACAACCAGGTACTGGCGTGCGTGTGTGTGTGTGTGTGTGTGTGTGTGTGTGAAATGACACAAAATTAAATTATGTAAATATTGTAATTTAGTTTCAATGTAGGCCTCTCCTGAATGTCAATGGAACTGTCCCAACCCTCTATGGCTGCGTTTACACAGGCAGCCCAATTGGTCTTTTGACCAATCACATCAGATCTATTCACATCAGATCTGTTTCAGAGCTGATCTGATTGTCAAAATAGCAATTAGTTAAAAAAATATTAGAATTGGGGTGCCTGTCTAAACGCAGCCTGTGTGTCTAGTGTTCATCTCCCGGTTCAGAATCCTGTGGGACGGAGCGAAGCAGGACACCTGTGACCTCGGTTCCCCCTGCGGAGGGGAAGAGTTAGACCGCGACACCCAGGAGGAGAAGGGAAGGGGAGATGCTAGGGGGAGTGAGACAGGGGCTGACGGAAGGGAGGACGGAGGGGCTGACGGAGGGGAGGACGGAGGGGCTGACGGAGGGGAGGACGGAGGGGCTGACGGAGGGGAGGACGGAGGGGCTGACGGAGTGGAGGATGGAGGGGCTGACGGAGGGGAGGACGGAGGGGAGGACGGAGGGGTAGAACCACCCCTGGATGAAGATGGAGATCTAGAGGTAACACGCAGGTCAGTAATATTATGTCTCACCTCCACATCAGTCACCACAGTTATTACAGTCAAACCTTCACTATGTTTTTTATCGCCTTCATTTTATTGTTTTACTATAAATGTTTTAAGGCCAGTGGATCAATAGAATAGTAGGATACACAAGGTGCAATTTCGACATGTGGTTGTGCACCAACCGTTTTTCTCTTATGTCAGTCACTGACAGTCACTCAATTAGCTTTCTCTCAGCATTTTTTTTTTTTTGATTGGTAAGTTAGTCTAGCCGCCAGCTATTTAAACTTGTAGTAATCATGGTTGAATTACCGACCGGGGGGCCCCCATTGATTTTGTTAGTCACTCTCACACAGATATCATATTAAGAACAACAAACATTTCTCTCCACCCTATGGCAGAATGTGTAGAATTGCAGGAAATTAGTGATAAAATAAAAATAGCAAAATCTTCTCTCCGCTGCTTTTTTTGTGGCCCCACCCCCATCAAAGTTTCCCATCCCTGTTCCAGACTAACCGAATATTGTACATGTCATCCCTGCCCAGACAGAGCCTTCCTGAGAGAGACATGACTAACTGGATATTGTACATGTCATCCCTGCTCAGACAGAGCCTCCCTGAGAGAGACATGACTAACTGACTATTGTACATGTCATCTCTGCTCAGACAGAGCCTCCCTGAGAGAGACATGACTAAATGACTATTGTACATGTCATCCCTGCTCAGACAGAGCCTCCCTGAGAGAGACATGACTAAATGACTATTGTACATGTCATCCCTGCTCAGACAGAGCCTCCCTGAGAGAGACATGACTAAATGACTATTGTACATGTCATCCCTGCTCAGACAGAGCCTCCCTGAGAGAGACATGACTAAATGACTATTGTACATGTCATCCCTGCCCAGACAGAGCCTCCCTGAGAGAGACAGACATGACTAACTGACTATTGTACATGTCATCCCTGCCCAGACAGAGCCTCCCTGAGAGAGACAGAGACATGAATAACTGACTATTGTACATGTCATTCCTGCTCAGACAGAGCCTCCCTGAGAGAGACATGACTAAATGACTATTGTACATGTCATCCCTGCCCAGACAGAGCCTCCCTGAGAGAGACAGACATGACTAACTGACTATTGTACATGTCATCCCTGCCCAGACAGAGCCTCCCTGAGAGAGACAGAGACATGACTAACTGACTATTGTACATGTCATTCCTGCTCAGACAGAGCCTCCCTGAGAGAGACAGAGACATGACTAACTGACTATTGTACATGTCATTCCTGCTCAGACAGAGCCTCCCTGAGAGAGACATGACTAAATGACTATTGTACATGTCATCCCTGCTCAGACAGAGCCTCCCTGAGAGAGACATGACTAAATGACTATTGTACATGTCATCCCTGCCCAGACAGAGCCTCCCTGAGAGAGACAGACATGACTAACTGACTATTGTACATGTCATCCCTGCCCAGACAGAGCCTCCCTGAGAGAGACAGAGACATGACTAACTGACTATTGTACATGTCATTCCTGCTCAGACAGAGCCTCCCTGAGAGAGACAGAGACATGACTAACTGACTATTGTACATGTCATTCCTGCTCAGACAGAGCCTCCCTGAGAGAGACATGACTAACTGACTATTGTACATGTCATCCCTGTCCAGACAGAGCCTCCCTAGGAGGGACAGAGACCGAGACATGGTCTACCCCATCATCCTCAGCCAGGCAAGAAGAGAGGAAGAGGAGGAGGAGGAAGCGGAGGAGGAGTGTCCTAGAGACGTCATCAGGATAGGTGAGAAGAGAACAAGACTGGTTTCTACCTCTGACTGACCCTGGTCACTACTTTTCTTTTTAGTCCAGTGTAATTTCTGAAGAGCTGAGTGAAGACAGTTCTGAGAGGCAGAAGTATGTGTTGTAACTGTGTTTATGTGAGTTATCACTGTGTTTATGTGTGTGTTATAACTGTTTGTGAGTTATTACTGTTTGTGTGAGTTAACGCTTTGTGTGAGTTATAACTGTTTGTGTTATAATTGTGTTTATGTGTGTGTTATAACTGTGTTTATGTGTGTTATAACTGTTGGTGTGTGTGTTATAACTGTTGGTGTGTGTGTTATAACTGTTGGTGTGTGAGTTATAACTGTATTTGTGTGTGTGTGTGTGTGTGTGTGTGTTATAACTGTTGGTGTGTGTGTTATAACTGTTGGTGTGTGAGTTATAACTGTTGGTGTGTGAGTTATAACTGTGTTTGTTTGTGTGTGTGTGTGTTATAACTGTTGGTGTGTGTGTGTTATAACTGTTGGTGTGTGAGTTATAACTGTGTTTGTTTGTGTGTGTGTTATAACTGTTGGTGTGTGAGTTATAACTGTGTTTATGTTTGTGTTATAACTGTTTAAATCCTACATGTCTCTAACAGAACACACTATGGCCACGCCTTTAGAAGATGTTGGTAAACAGGTGAGTCACTCTTCCACTCTCCCTCTCCCTCTCTCTGTGTCTGTCTGTCTGTCTGTCTGTCTGTCTGTCTGTCTGTCTGTCTGTCTGTCTGTCTGTCTGTCTGTCTGTCTGTCTGTCTGTCTGTCTCTCTCTCTCTCTCTGTCTCTCTCTCTCTCTCTCTCTCTCTCTCTCTCTCTCTCTCTCTCTCTCTCTCTCTCTCTCTCTCTCTCTCTCTCTCTCTCTCTCTAACTTATTTTTCCTTCCTCTGATATATAATGTACTGTGCCTTCAGAAAGTATTCATACCCCTTGACTTATTCCACATTTTGTTGTGTTACAGCCTGAATTCAAAATGGATTAAATTGATGTAGTTTCTCACCCATCTAGACACAATACCCCATAATGTAAAAGTGAAAACATGTTTTTAGAAATGTTAGCAAAAAGTACAGAAATATTTCAATTACATTTGTATTCACACCTAGATGTGCAACATTTGCTCATTATTATTTTCAAATTTCTATAATCTCTGTCAAATTGATTGTTGATCATTGCTAGACAACCATTTTCAGGTCTTGCCATATATTTTCAAGTCAAAACTGTAACTCGGCTACTCCAGAACATTCACTGTCTTTTTGGTAAACATCCCTAGTGTAGATTTTGCCTTGTGTTTTAGGTTATTGGCCTGCTGAAAGGTGTATTCATCTCCCAGTGTCTGGTGGAAAGCAGGTTTTACTCAAGGATTTTGCTTGTGCTTAGCACCATTTTGTTTCTTTTCTATCCTGAAAAGCTCCCCAGTCCTTAATGATTACAAGCATACCCATAACATGATGCAGCCACCACTATGCTTGAAAATATGGAGAGTGTTACTCAGCAATGTGTTGTATTGGATTTGCCCCAAACATAACACTTTGTATTCAGGACAAAAAGGGAATTGCTTTGTCACATTTTTTGCAGTATTACTTTAGTGGCTTGTTGCAAACAGGATGCATGTTTTGGAATATTTTTGTTATGTACAGGCTTCCTTCTTTTCACTCTGTTAATTAGGTTAGTATTGTGGAGTAACTACAATGTTGTTGATCCATCCTCAGTTTTCTCCTATTACAGCCATTAAACTCTGTAACTGTTTTAAAGTCACCATTGGCCTTATGGTGAAACCCCTGAGTGGTTTCCTTCCTCTCTGGCAACTGAGTTAGGAAGGATGACTGTATCTTTGTAGTGACTGGGTGTATTGATACACCATCCAAACTGTAATTAATAACTTCACCATGCTCAAAGGGATATTCAATGTCAGATTTCTTATTTATTTTACCCATCTACCAATAGGAGCCCTTCTTAACGAGGCATTGGAAAACCTCCCTGGTCTTTGTAGTTGAATCTGTGCTTGAAATTCACTGCTCGACTCAGGGACCTTACAGATAATTGTATGTGTGGGGTACAGAGATGAGGTAGTCATTAAAAAATCATGTTAAACACTATTATTGCACACAGAGTGAGTCCATGCAACTTATTATGTGACTTGTTAAGCACATTTTTACTCCTGAATTTATTTAGGCTTGCCATTACAAAGGGGTTGAATGCTTATTGACTCAATACATTTCAGCTTTTTATTTTTTATTAGATCTCAATTTTATCAGTTTTAAATTCAGGCTGTAACACAACAAAATGTGGAAAAAGTCAAGGGGTGTGAATATTTTCTGAAGACACCATCTCTCCTTTCCTAGGTCTGGCGTGGTGCGTTCCTATTGGCTGATTTAATCCTGTCTCAGCCAACTACGTTCAGAGGAGCCACCGTCTTGGAGTTGGGGGCGGGGACTGGGCTGACCAGCATAGTCATGGCAACGGTGGCCAAAACGGTGTACTGCACAGGTGAGGTACCAACAGGTAAACCAGGGTTCTTCTCCCCTGGGGCCTCATTTATAACCGCTGCGTAAATTTCACGCTAAATATCTGCATGCACCATTTCTGAGTAGAATACGTAACTCCGCCTGGAAAACGCTCTCCATTCACCATTTATGGTGACAATGACGACCTTTATTTTCTGTATCATTTGGAATTAGGCCATGGCAGTTTCTAAAAGAAAGAGGTAGTCCCCTGTAGCTCAGTTGGTAGAGCATGGCGCTTACAACGCCAGGGTTGTGGGTTCGTTTCCCACGGGGGGCCAGTATGAAAATGTATGCACTCACTAACTGTAAGTCGCTCTGGATAAGAGCGTCTGCTAAATGACTAAAATGTAAATGTAAAGAGCAATGGCTAATTTGATTACATTTCTGTAGAGGTGTGTGCAGAATGTTTTGATATTTTGCGGTGACTTTTTCAAACTAAACATGCATTCCACCAATAGCGAGTGCCATACACTGTCCGCACATTCTGCAAGATTGATTGTATATTCAAAACGATTTAAAAGTAAATGCTACAGCCCACATTTCTATGCAAAAGACAAATTGTTGTTCAATATTTTGTTCATCAATAGATTATTGTGTTTCTATCTCCTATAGCCTCTGAGATTAATTAGGCTATGATGTCACGCTCCTATCGCAAAGCAGTACTGTAGCCTATACCATACTGTAGCCTATACCCATACTGTAGCCTATACCCATACTGTAGCCTATACCCATACTGTAGCCTATACCATATTGTAGCCTATATCCATACTGTAGCCTATACTGTATTTATTCATCATATCCCCCACGTATTCATCATATCCCCCGCGTATTCATCATATCCCCCCCTGGTCCTGGTGAGTTACTGGGGTGCAGGCTCCTGTTCCAGCCCTGCACTGTTTATAAATGAGGCCCCTGGTCCTGGAGAGTTACTGGGGTGAAGGCTTCTGTTCCAGCCCTGCACTGTTTGTAAATGAGGCCCCTGGTCCTGGAGAGTTACTGGGGTGCAGGCTTCTGTTCCGGCCCTGCACTAGCTGATCAATGTCGTGATTATTAGCTGTTTGTGTGCGTATCAGAGTTTGGGGGGCAATTCCAGCTAAGTCCCAGTCAATTCAAGGATGGAATAGCATTCATATGGAGAAAATCCAGGTCCAATTCAACAGACCGCAATGTAACTTCAATTGAGCGCATCTCTGTTGCACAACTCGTAGCATTCTTGTCCAGATAGTCTGGCCCATTTTCTACCGGTCCAGTCTGAGGAGTGCTATCCTAGGCAGAACATCTCACTGTCTAATAATTCCTTGGCATGATGTGATAAGAAATCCTCCCTTTTTCAAATAATTGCATCATATTTCTCAATTTAGCGATTTTATGCGTGACTGCTGTTGCAGGCTCATTTTCCCCTTCTCATAATAAAGCTGCCCGGATTCTATCACTAAACCCTTGAATGAGTAGGTGTGTCCAAACTTTTGACTGGTACTGTATATCGGTCGCCAGTGATTCCATCAGCTGATTTAGCTTGTTGTGGCTTGCCTGCTGCTAACTAGCTTCACTGACAAACACAGGGATGTAATGTTAGCTAGCTAGCTAAAGATGTTGGGCACTGCACTAATAAACACAGGGATGTAATGTTAGCTAGCTAGCTAGCTAGCTAAGGATGTTGGGCACTAATCTGATAAACACAGGGATGTAATGTTAGCTAGCTAGCTAAGGATGTTGGGCACTGCTCTGATAAACACAGGGATGTAATGTTAGCTAGCTAGCTAAGGATGTTGGACACTGCACTGATAAACACAGGGATGTAATGTTAGCTAGCTAGCTAAGGATGTTGGGCACTGCTCTGATAAACACAGGGATGTAATGTTAGCTAGCTAGCTAAGGATGTTGGACACTGCACTGATAAACACAGGGATGTGATGTTAGCTAGCTAGCTAAGGATGTTGGGCACTGCACTGATAAACACAGGGATGTAATGTTAGCTAGCTAGCTAAGGATGTTGGGCACTGCTCTGATAAACACAGGGTTGTAATGTTAGCTAGCTAGCTAAGGATGTTGGACACTGCACTGATAAACACAGGGATGTGATGTTAGCTAGCTAGCTAAGGATGTTGGGCACTGCACTGATAAACACAGGGATGTAATGTTAGCTAGCTAGCTAAGGATGTTGGGCACTGCTCTGATAAACACAGGGTTGTAATGTTAGCTAGCTAAGGGTGCACTGATAAACAGCATGTAGCTTGTCACTTATTTAGGATAGTTTTGACAGCTTGCTGATGAATTGGTAGACATGTTCCCAGCAGTCAGTCCGTACTTCAGCCTGTCAGGTAAAAGCACAGCGCTGCAGCAGACTCAATAATGTACTGACTCGAGGCAGAGCAGGCTGTTCGCTCCTGTCGCTAGCCTTTCTCTGCCATTTTTCCAACTTAACGACGATAAATGTTCACACCCCTAGTTACAGGAGCCCTGGCCCTGCCAACGAACTGGCTCAGAATATACAGTCACCTTCACATTACTAGACATGAATCTTATCCAGGTAATGTCACACATTATATGTTTAAATGTATAGCTCAAACAATGAAGGGAACGGATGGATTAAATGTAGTGACAAGTAGTAATCACATTTAGAAAATATGCATTCAAAGCAGTTAAAAGGATGGTTCAGTGATGTATCAACTATCAAATAGTTGAGAATATTGGGACATTGTTATCTAGGTCCTTTTTAGATATCTGGTTTACCGTCTGTGACAGTATTTGTAGGCAACATATGCTTGTTGTGACTGCAGGTCCAACCATAAAACATGCTTTCACCAGTAATTTAGCCATGCCTTTTCTACAGAACAGACTGTAGATTATGGTAACCAGGATAGTGATTTAACATGATTTAACATGCCTCTACACCCACGTCTGTAGATGATGGTGCTGTATGTCTCTACCAGTCAACACTATTGTTCTGATCATCTCTCCAGTTAATTGGTCTGTTCCTCCAGGGCATGACTGTTACAGTGATACATGGTGTTACACTATAGTAGGATTTTATAAAGACCACCGTGTTACTATAGTATGGTTTTATAAAGACCACCATGTTACTATAGTAGGGTTTTATAAAGACCACCATGTTACTATAGTAGGGTTTTATAAAGACCACCATGTTACACTAGTATGGTTTTATAAAGACCACCATGTTACTATAGTAGGGTTTTATAAAGACCACCATGTTACACTAGTATGGTTTTATAAAGACCACCATGTTACTATAGTAGGGTTTTATAAAGACCACCATGTTACACTAGTATGGTTTTATAAAGACCACCTGTAATTATTTTGTAGGTAACTTTGGCACAAGTTGTACGCCTCATCAGGAACATTTTATTTCTTTTTTTTTTGCAAACCCTAGGTTATTTTCAAAAGTTAAAAAAAACCCTAGGTTACATTTCTCATGTTAAAAAGAGAGGAAAGACAAATCAAGTGTGAAGAAGCAACAGATATGTACGATTTAAAGGATCTCACCCACGGAATCAGGATGTTTATAGGCTACTGTACTGTATTTGAGAGGAAAGCTAAATTGTTGTCATAGTCCCGTGTAGCTCAGTTGGTAGAGAATGGCGTTTGCAACGCCAGGGTTGTGGGTTTGATTCCCACGGGGGGCCAGTATGAAAAATAATGTATGCACTCACTAACTGTAAGTCGCTCTGGATAAGCGCGTCTGCTAAATGACTAAAATGTAAAAATGTAAATAATTATTGCACTTGTATTAAAGTGCTCTTCTATTTAAAGCCCAATGTTTCTGTTACGTTTTAAAGTTACCTAAATGCTGTGTAAAATCCCAATATCTGTGTAACGTTGTGTTGCAGACGTTGGGGAGGACCTACTGAGCATGTGCCAGAAGAACGTGATGTTAAACAGACACCTGATGGAGCCTGCAGGTGAGAGAACATTAGTTAGAGAACGTGACGTTAAACAGACACATGATGGAGCCTGCAGGTGAGAGAACATTAGTTAGAGAACGTGACGTTAAACAGACACATGATGGAGCCTGCAGGTGAGAGAACATTAGTTAGAGAACGTGACGTTAAACAGACACATGATGGAGCCTGCGGGTGAGAGTACATTAGTTAGAGAACGTGACGTTAAACAGACACATGATGGAGCCTGCAGGTGAGAGAACATTAGTTAGAGAATGTGACGTTAAACAGACACATGATGGAGCCTGCAGGTGAGAGAACATTAGTTAGAGAACGTGACGTTAAACAGACACTTGATGGAGCCTGCAGGTGAGAGAACATTAGTTAGAGAACGTGACGTTAAACAGACACATGATGGAGCCTGCAGGTGAGAGAACATTAGTTAGAGAACGTGACGTTAAACAGACACATGATGGAGCCTGCAGGTGAGAGAACATTAGTTAGAGAACGTGACGTTAAACAGACACTTGATGGAGCCTGCAGGTGAGAGAACATTAGTTAGAGAACGTGACGTTAAACAGACACATGATGGAGCCTGCAGGTGAGAGAACATTAGTTAGAGAACGTGACGTTAAACAGACACTTGATGGAGCCTGCAGGTGAGAGAACATTAGTTAGAGAACGTGACGTTAAACAGACACTTGATGGAGCCTGCAGGTGAGAGAACATTAGTTAGAGAACGTGACGTTAAACAGACACATGATGGAGCCTGCGGTTGAGAGAACATTAGTTAGAGAACGTGATGTTAAACAGACACATGATGGAGCCTGCAGGGCTGTATTGGATCAAAAGGAGATGGTTTTACCAGTCTGACATGCTGTATTGGATCAAAAGGAGATGGTTTTACCAGTCTGACATGCTGTATGGGATCAAAAGGAGATGGTTTTACCAGTCTGACATGCTGTATGGGATCAAAAGGAGATGGTTTTACCAGTCTGACATGCTGTATGGGATCAAAAGGAGATGGTTTTACCAGTCTGACATGCTGTATGGGATCAAAAGGAGATGGTTTTACCAGTCTGACATGCTGTATGGGATCAAAAGGAGATGGTTTTACCAGTCTGACATGCTGTATGGGATCAAAAGGAGATGGTTTTACCAGTCTGACATGCTGTATGGGATTATTATTTTTTATTTTTTTTAATCTTTATTTTAACAGGGAAAAACTGACTGAGACCTGGATCTCTTTTACGGCTGTGCCCTGTGTTGACATGTACAGTTTTAGACATACAGACAATAACATTTCAAACATACAAAACAAAAACACAATTCAACAGAAACAATCACAGACAACATCATATACATTTTTAAAATGGGCAAGGGACACCAGAGTGTCTAACTTAAGTTGGATCTGCAGTTTGTTCCATAAATAAGGTGCAAAGGAACTGAAGGCAGTCCTACCCAACTCTGTGGAGACCACAGGAGTCTCTAATGTAATCCACATCTGTGATCTGGTTTAAAAATTAGTATATCTAGTGGAAATTAATGATGATATATATGGAGGTAGTTTTAAAAGAAGTGCTTTATAAATAAACAAGAGAGCATGTTGCTCTCGCCTCACAGATAGAGGCCCAACCCACATGTTGATATAGGAAACAGTGTAACTATCACCCGTGATAAACCTGAGTGCACAATGTTAAATAGCATCCAGTGGTTTTAATGTGTTTGCCGATGCATGCATATAGATAATATCACCATAATCTAAAACGGACATAAAAGTAGCCTGCACAATTTGTTTTCTATTTACGGAGGACAGACAAGCCCTGTTTCTGTAAAGGAACCCTATCTTGAATTTGAGCTTTTTTCCCAATTCAGTAACATGTTTTTTAAAAGAAAGCCTATCATCTAACCATACCCCTAAGTATTTATATGCAGAGACCTGTTTGATTTGAGTACCATCCAAGCTAGTGATTACAAAAGTGTTTCTAATTGAGAGTTTAGACCTAGAAAAAAACATTTGTTTTCTTAGCGTTTAAAACAAGTTTAAGCTGTAAAAGAGACCCCTGTAGTATCCTAAAATCAGACTCCAACTGCATTAAAGCTTGGTTCGCTGTTGGAGCAATAGAGTACATCACTGTTTCATCTGCATATAAATGGATTTTACAATATCTGACATTACCAATGTTGTTTATATAAAGTGAGAACAATAGTGGGCCAATTATTGAACCCTGAGGGACCCCTTTAAGTAACTGTAAGGGGTCAGACTTGACCCCGTCGACCATGACGGCCTGAGTTCTATCTTTAAGATAGTCATAAAACCATCGACAGGCATCAGTGCCCAGTCTGATCAACTGGCCTACCGAATACAGCCTGCTGTGGCCCTGTCCTTTCTGACAGGGTAAACCAACCGCTAACCTTATCTATTTATAGCCCTTTTATTTGTGTTAGGAGAAAATAATTTAAGGTCATCAAATTTGGTTTATATTCAAACTTCGGCTAGCTAGGCTACCTAGACATTTTTAATCCAACATTATGAACTGGAAAATCAATCAACACAATAGTGATGACAGACTGTGTGATTAACTTTTTAATTACAGATGCGAAGGCGTACATGATGCAAACCTGCATACAGCCAGCTCAGCCCTGTTAGTTCTATTGTCCAATCACAGTTGTTGTGTCTGTACAACCCTGTTAGTTTAGTTTTTAAATGGAATTCATATGAACAAGTGCAAGATTGCTGAAGTTCGACAGAGTTTTCATCATCCCTAGGACCAGGAGTTTTTCCAGCAGTTTTATAAAACCCATATGACCTGATTTTGGAAAAATGCTGGTCCCATCATAGCCCATATAAAACCATTTTACAATTTATTAATCCCGGTCATACCCTACAGGGAACAGAGTTTTACCTGGTTAGGTTACCAGATCAGGAAAAACTCTGAGCTCCAGGAAAAATAACTGCCCCACCACTCTGGAACCTGTGGTACCACCTCTGGTTTAGCCGATGTTAGATATACTGTAGGGTTTTTCCACATGGGTACTTAACCGTACCATACTCGTTCACTGATTATGGGTTCGGTTCTGTTCTGATTCGGCACGCTTTGGTTTTCCATAAACAAATGAACAGATGTAGGTTCGAACGTCGTTGCAGATAGAATGTTGCTGTAGCTGACAAATGCGAAGTGTAACTAAGCAACGATTCATACCAGAGTGTAAATTATTACATACAGTACCGGGCAAGCTCACTCCCCCTACCTGTTTCATTACAATACGTTGTACCAGGCTAGCTCACTCCCCCTAGCTGTTTCATTACAAATTCATCAGGGACCCCCTCATAATCAGAGCACAACTCCAGTGAGGTAAAAATAGCATACAAGGAGTTTTACTATGACTTTGGGCAGTGCATGGTCGGACGAACCAAGTCTCGGGCCCTGGGAAGGATAATTTTTAGCAACATTTTCGAAAATAGTGATAGTATTGAGTGTTATAGTGTTGTGTTGTCTCTTTAACAGGTGGGGAGGTGATAGTATTGAGTATTATAGTGTTGTGTTGTCTCTTTAACAGGTGGGGAGGTGATAATATTGAATATTATAGTGTTGTGTTGTCTCTAACAGGTGGGGAGGTGATAGTATTGAGTATTATAGTGTTGTGTTGTCTCTTTAACAGGTGGGGAGGTGATAATATTGAGTATTATAGTGTTGTGTTGTGTCTTTAACAGGTGGGGAGGTGATAATATTGAGTATTATAGTGTTGTGTTGTCTCTAACAGGTGGGGAGGTGATAGTATTGAGTATTATAGTGTTGTGTTGTCTCTTTAACAGGTGGGGAGGTGATAATATTGAGTATTATAGTGTTGTGTTGTCTCTTTAACAGGTGGGGAGGTGATAATATTGAGTATTATAGTGTTGTGTTGTCTCTTTAACAGGTGGGGAGGTGATAATATTGAGTATTATAGTGTTGTGTTGTCTCTTTAACAGGTGGGGAGGTGATAGTATTGAGTATTATAGTGTTGTGTTGTCTCTAACAGGTGGGGAGGTGATAATATTGAGTATTATAGTGTTGTGTTGTCTCTAACAGGTGGGGAGGTGATAGTATTGAGTATTATAGTGTTGTGTTGTCTCTTTAACAGGTGGGGAGGTGATAATATTGAGTATTATAGTGTTGTGTTGTCTCTAACAGGTGGGGAGGTGATAGTATTGAGTATTATAGTGTTGTGTTGTCTCTTTAACAGGTGGGGAGGTGATAATATTGAGTATTATAGTGTTGTGTTGTCTCTTTAACAGGTGGGGAGGTGATAATATTGAGTATTATAGTGTTGTGTTGTCTCTAACAGGTGGGGAGGTGATAGTATTGAGTATTATAGTGTTGTGTTGTCTCTTTAACAGGTGGGGAGGTGATAATATTAAGTATTATAGTGTTGTGTTGTCTCTTTAAAAGGTGGGGAGGTGATAATATTGAGTATTATAGTGTTGTGTTGTCTCTTTAACAGGTGGGGAGGTGATAATATTGAGTATTATAGTGTTGTGTTGTCTCTTTAACAGGTGGGGAGGTGATAGTATTGAGTATTATAGTGTTGTGTTGTCTCTAACAGGTGGGGAGGTGATAATATTGAGTATTATAGTGTTGCGTTGTCTCTAACAGGTGGGGAGGTGATAGTATTGAGTATTATAGTGTTGTGTTGTCTCTTTAACTGGTGGGGAGGTGATAATATTGAGTATTATAGTGTTGTGTTGTCTCTAACAGGTGGGGAGGTGATAGTATTGAGTATTGTAGTGTTGTGTTGTCTCTTTAACAGGTGGGGAGGTGATAATATTGAGTATTATAGTGTTGTCTCTTTAACAGGTGGGGAGGTGATAATATTGAGTATTATAGTGTTGTGTTGTCTCTAACAGGTGGGGAGGTGATAGTATTGAGTATTATAGTGTTGTGTTGTCTCTTTAACAGGTGGGGAGGTGATAATATTGAGTATTATAGTGTTGTCTCTAACAGGTGGGGAGGTGATAATATTGAGTATTATAGTGTTGTGTTGTCTCTTTAACAGGTGGGGAGGTGATAATATTGAGTATTATACAGTGTTGTGTTGTCTCTTTATCAGGTGGGGAGGTGATAGTATTGAGTATTATAGTGTTGTGTTGTCTCTTTAACAGGTGGGGAGGTGATAGTATTGAGTATTATAGTGTTGTGTTGTCTCTTTAACAGGTGGGGAGGTGATAGTATTGAGTATTATGGTGTTGTGTTGTCTCTTTAACAGGTGGGGAGGTGATAATATTGAGTATTATAGTGTTGTGTTGTCTCTTTAACAGGTGGGGAGGTGATAGGATTGATTATTATAGTGTTGTGTTGTCTCTTTAACAGGTGGGGAGGTGATAGTATTGAGTATTATAGTGTTGTCTCTTTAACAGGTGGGGAGGTGCGAGTACGTCTACTGGACTGGCTCAGACACGATCTCTGCACAGGTGGGTAGGCTACACACACACACAGACACACACACACACACACACACACAAACAAACAAACACACATAGAGAAACACACACACACACCATGTTAAACCATGGTCTCTCTGCTGATCTCTCCTCCTTTTCTCAATTCATCCCTTGTTTCAGACGCTGATACAGAGTTTGGATGGACGGAGGATGAAGTGGCAGATCTCCATGACAACACAACGGTTATCATCGCGGCTGATGGTAAGACAGGTGGGATCAGGTGTTTATCAGGTGGAATCAGGTGTTTATCAGGTGGAATCAGGTGTTTATCAGGTGGGTTCAGGTGTTTATCAGGTGGGTTCAGGTGTTTATCAGGTGGGTTCAGTTGTTTATCAGGTGGGTTCAGGTGTTATCAGGTGGGATCAGGTGTGACCCTACTGATCTACCTATATGCTGTAGGTATCTAATGTAACCTTACTATTGAGTTGGGATTTCCCCCTGCAAATTCACTAGCACTCAGAGCAGAGTTAGAGATGCTGAACACAGGTATGGTGCTGAATGATCTCTATGGAATAAATGGTGCTTTATTTGTGATTTATTCCAGTGTGCTATGATGACGATCTGACAGACGCGCTGTTCCGAACTCTGTACAGAATCTGTAACAACCTCCATCTCCCCTGTACTACATACTTGTCTATAGAGAAGAGGTAACATACCTGTACTACATACCTGTCTATAGAGAAGAGGTAACATACCTGTACTACATACCTGTCTATAGAGAAGAGGTAACATACCTGTACTACATACCTGTCTATAGAGAAGAGGTAACATACCTGTACTACATACCTGTCTATAGAGAAGAGGTAACATACCTGTACTACATACCTGTCTATAGAGAAGAGGTAACATACCTGTACTACATACCCGTCTATAGAGAAGAGGTAACATACCTGTACTACATACCTGTCTATAGAGAAGAGGTAACATACCTGTACTACATACCTGTCTATAGAGAAGAGGTAACATACCTGTACTACATACCCGTCTATAGAGAAGAGGTAACATACCTGTACTACATACCCGTCTATAGAGAAGAGGTAACATACCTGTCTATAGAGAAGAGGTAGCTTAGTGGGTAAGAGCGTTGTGCCAGTAACGGAAAGGTCACTGGTTCTAATCCCTGAGCCGACTAGGTAAAAAATCTGTCGATGTGCCCTTAAGAAAGGCACTTAACCCTAATTGCTCCTGTAAGTCGCTCTGGATAAGAGCGTCTGCTAAATGACTAAAATGTAAATGTACTACTGTGCCTTCGTTAATTATTCAGACCCCTTGACCTTTTCCACATTTTGTTACATTACAGCCTTATTCAAAAATTTATTAAATTGTTTTTTTCCCTCATCAATCTACACACAATACCCCATAATGACAAAACAAAAACAGGTTATTCGAAATTTTTGCAAATGTTAAAGAATTAATAAACGGAAATATGACATTTACATAAGTATTCAGACCCTTTACTCAGGACTTTGTTGAAGCACCTTTGGCAGTGATTACAGCCTCGAGTCTTCTTGGATATGACGCTACAAGCTTGGCACACCTGTATTTGGGGAGTTTCTCCCATTCTTCTCTGCAGATCCTCTCAAGCTCTGTCAGGTTGGATGGGGAGCGTCGCTGCACAACTATTTTCAGGTCCGGACTCTGGCTGGGCCACTCAAGGACATTCAGAGACTTGTCCCGAAGCCACTCCTGCGTTGTCTTGGCTGTGTGCTTAGGGTCGTTGTCCTGTTGGAAAGTGAACCTTCTCCCCAGTCTGAGGTCCTAAGTGCTCTGGAGCAGGTTTTCATCAAGGATCTCTCTGTACTTTGCTCCGTTCATCTTTCCCTCAATCCTAACTAGTCTCCCAGTCTCTGCCGCTGAAAAACATCCCCACAGCATGATGCTGCCACCACCATGCTTCACCGTAGGGATGGTGCCAGTTTTCCTCCAGACGTGATGCTTGAAATTCAGGCCAAAGAGTTCAATCTTGGTTTCATCAGATCAGAGAATCTTGTTTCTCATGGTCTGAGAGTCCTTTAGGTGCCTTTTGGCAAACTCCAAGTGGGCTGTCATTTGCCTTTTACTGAGGAGTGGCATCCTTCTGGCCACTCAACCATAAAGGCCTGATTGGTGGAGTGCTGCAGAGATGATTGTCCTTCTGGAAGATTCTCCCATCTCCACAGAGGAACTCTGGAGCTCTGTCAGAGTGACCATCGGGTTCTTGGTCACCTCCCTGACCAAGGCCCTTCTCCCCCGATTGCTCAGTTTGGCCGGGCGGCCAGCTCTAGGAAGAGTCTTGGTGGTTCCAAACTTCTTCCATTTAAGAATGATTGAGGCCACTGTGTTCTTGGAGACCTTCAATGCTGCAGCCATTTTTTGGTACGCTTCCCCAGATCTGTGCTCTACGGACAATGGTTGAGAGAATGCCAAGAGTGTGCAAAGCTGTCATCAAGGCAAAGGGTGGCTACTTTGAAGAATCTCAAATATAAAATATATTTTGATTTGTTAAACACTTTAATTGGTTACTACATGATTCACACAAAGTCACCATTCTACACCCAGCCATGTAGAGAGGCATGAGAACGCAAGGAGAAAGACGAGAAACTATTGTTGCTGTGTACTGTGAATGGACTGAGGACAATTCCAGGGAATTTTAAAGTTTTTGTCATTTAGGTTTCTTTTTATTCCATTTCTTTGCCTCCTTTAGTTTATTTTTGTAAGAAAGATGTTTTATTACCATGTCTATCTTCAGAGAGAGAAGGCGTGCCCGTCCATCTTGAGAACGTCGCTATGCTTGGGGGTTCACTTTGTGACGTGATTGGTAGACTGCACACATGAAATTATTTTATTTTTTCTCCCCCTATACATTCCAGGAACGCGCTTGGTTTCCAACCACCTATCACTACCCTTCATCCCCATCCATTTTTAGGAAACGGTTCATTGAGGAAGATTTTCTGGATTGTCAGGCGACCATTCAAACCAATCAAGGACTTGACAGAATGTAAAGACATGACTCTATAGTATGCATGTGTGATATCCCTCAGTTTGGTAACTGACTGATATATTGAAGGCTGCTGGGTGAAGTTTTTCTCTCGCCAAATGGACACATACAAGGACACATCCCCTAACCTGTATCTCTTTAGCTAACGAACGCTGATATTAAATTACCGACCCAATCTTTCTTTTTGTAAATAGACTGTAATTATTTTGTAGGCAACTTTGGCACAAGTTGTACGCCTCATCAGGAACATTTTATTTCTTTTTTTTTTGCAAACCCTAGGTTATTTTCAAAAGGGTGCTTTCTCATGTTAAAAAGAGAGGAAAGACAAATCAAGTGTGAAGAAGCAACAGATATGTACGATTTAAAGGATCTCACCCACGGAATCAGGATGTTTATAGGCTACTGTACTGTATTTGAGAGGAAAGCTAAATTGTTGTCATAGTCCCGTGTAGCTCAGTTGGTAGAGAATGGCGTTTGCAACGCCAGGGTTGTGGGTTTGATTCCCACGGGGGGCCAGTATGAAAAAAAATGTATGCACTCACTAACTGCAAGTCGCTCTGGATAAGCGCATCTGCTAAATGACTAAAATGTAAATGTAAAAAATTCCATATGTATTATTGCATAGTTTTTATGTCTTCACTATTATTCTACAATGTAGAAAATAGTAAAAATAAAGAAAAAGCCTTGAATGAGTAGGTGTGTCTAAACTACACTGCCGATTTTGCAGATTTTCCTACTTACAAAGCATGTAGAGGTCTGTAATTTTTATCATAGGTACACTTCAACTGTGAGAGACGGAATCTAAAACAAAAATCCAGAAAATCACATTTGTATGATTTTTAAGTAATTAATTTGCATTTGATTGCATGACATAAGTATTTGATCACCTACCAACCAGTAAGAATTCCGGCTCTCACAGACCTGTTAGTTTTTCTTTAAGAAGCCCTCCTGTTCTCCACTCGTTACCTGTATAAAAGACACCTGTCCACACACTCAATCAAACAGACTCCAACCTCTCCACAATGGCCAAGACCAGAGAGCTGTGTAAGGACATCAGGGATAAAATTGTAGACCTGCACAAGGCTGGGATGGGCTACAGGACAATAGGCAAGCAGCTTGGTGAGAAGGCAACAACTGTTGCCGCAATTATTAGAAAATTGAAGTTCCAGATGACGGTCAATCACCCTCGGTCTGGGGCTCCATGCAAGATCTCACCTCGTGGGGCATCAATGATCATGAGGAAGGTGAGGGATCAGCCCAGAACTACATGGCAGGACCTGGTCAATGACCTGAAGAGAGCTGGGACCACAGTCTTAAAGAAAACCATTAGTAACACACTACACCGTCATGGATTAAAATCCTGCAGCACACGCAAGGTCCCCCTGCTCAAGCCTGCGCATGTCCAGGCCCGTCTGAAGTTTGCCAATGACCATCTGGATGATCCAGAGGAGGAATGGGAGAAGGTCATGTGGTCTGATGACACAAAAATATAGCTTTTTGGTCTAAACTCCACTCGCCGTGTTTGGAGGGAGAAGAATGATGAGTATAACCCCAAGAACACCATCCCAACCGTGAAGCATGGAGGTGGAAACATCATTCTTTGGGGATGCTTTTCTGCAAAGGGGACAGGACAACTGTACCGTATTGAGGGGAGGATGGATGGGGCCATGTATCGCGAGATCTTGGCCAACAACCTCCTTCCCTCAGTAAGAGCATTGAAGATGGGTCGTGGCTGGGTCTTCCAGCATGACAACGACCCGAAACACACAGCCAGGGCAACTAAGGAGTGGCTCCGTATGAAGCATCTCAAGGTCCTGGAGTGGCCTAGTCAGTCTCCAGACCTGAACCCAATAGAAAATCTTTGGAGGGAGCTGAAAGTCCGTATTGCCCAGGGACAGCCCCGAAACCTGAAGGATCTGGAGAAGGTCTGTATGGAGGAGTGGGCCAAAATCCCTGCTGCAGTGTGTGCAAACCTGGTCAAGACCTACAGGAAACGTATGATCTCTGTAGGTTTCTGTACCAAATATTAAGTTCTGCTTTTCTGATGTATCAAATACTTATGTCATGCAATAAAATGCAAATTAATTACTTAGAAATCATACAATGTGATTTTTGGGATTTTTGTTTTAGATTCCGTCTCTCACAGTTGAAGTGTACCTATGATAAAAATTACAGACCTCTACATGCTTTGTAAGTAGGAAAACCTGCAAAATCGGCAGTGTATCAAATACTTGTTCTCCCCACTGTGTGTGTGTGTGTGTGTATGTGTATATATATATATATATATATATATATATATACTGTATATTCTAGATTTATGCTAAATGTAAAAAATTAATCCAGCTCATGTGCCACATCTTGTCATTACAGTCTTTGTGTGTAATGATGTGTGTTTGTGTGTGTGTGTGCGTGCGTGCGTGCGTGCGTGCGTGCGTGCGTGCTTGCCTACGTGTGTGTGTGTGTGTGTGTGTGCGTGCCTACGTGTGTGTGCATCCGTGTGGTTCCTTACGCTTATGTGTGTGTGTGTTCCCCAGGCTGAACTTCACTCTGAGACACCTGGACGTATCCTGCGAGGCCTACGACCATTTCCGCCACTGTCTGTGTGAGATGCAGGAGCTAAGGGACGGCCGGACATGCTTCACAGTGGAGCAGGTCACCCCCTCCTTCCCACAGT